CCAATGCCTTTCTCAGTGAGAGAGAGAGACACTTTCGGTTTCGATTGCTCTCACTCACTCCTTTAAACTCTCTCTCTCTCTTTTTTTCCTTTTTTCTTTTTTTTTTTGGGGGAGATTTGGATCTTTGTGGAAATTGGGATTTCAAAAATGAGGAGGAGCTTTTAATTTTTATTGCCCGCGGGAGGGGGACTGGCGCGTGTGAGTGACGGACCAATTATTATGTGATTGTGTTGTGGTGGAGAGTGCTGATTGGCTCAGTCTTCCGGATGTAAAAGTCACGTGCACTCGAGTCAGTGAGCTGTTGTCTTTCGATTGGCTGACCCTCTTAGATTTTTTTTTCTTTCTGAACAGAGGGAAATTGAGGCAATTGGGGATGAGGAAATGGGAAAACAAGAAAGTTAAATCGGGAACAACGTCTGTTGGTCTGTGAAAGAAGTTTATTATACAAGTTTTATAAATAAGAAAATAAATATTAAAATTTTTTTTTGATTTAATGTAATTTGAATTTAAATTACACCGAGCCATTTGGGTCAAGTGACAATAATCACCATGGTGCATTTCCCCTCCTCCATAACCCCAGCCCCCTTGTAAAATCAGTTCAAAAAAAAAAATTGAATTTAAATTAATTAAAATTTAATATAATTAATAAGTATTAAAAATTAATTAAAAAAAGTTAAAAACAATTTTTTTTCGAATAATTTACTACTTAGGAGTGGGGTTCGAATTCAATTCTAATATTGGAGGATACACTTTATGATAAATATAGAATCGTTGAGTTACAAGATTCAAATGTAAATTACAATAAAAAATTTATAAGAACATTAAAAATTACTAAAAATAAAGAAAAAGTTTGATATATTATAATTATTATACTAAATTATAAAATAAAAATTATTAAATAAAAAAATCTCTAATTTAATAACTATAATAGTGCACATGAGGAGAAGATTTTGATTCAATAATTATAATTATATAGTTTAATTTTTTTTAAAAAAAAAGTGACCCTGAAGTTTTTTATTTTTTATTTTTTTGGAGCTGAAGCTAAATGGTGAACCTGAAATTTTGATAAGAAAAGAAATGCGATTGACAAATTAAATAGGTTTATTGCTTTCTTCTAACGGGTAACATAGGCACAGGGCTGTTAT